GTTTGCAAAAAATGTAACAATACAAAGTCATGAGTTATAAACTACAATGCATCTTGTTTGGAACTAATGTGGTTTCTACAGATTCATTAAGCACTGAACATCAAAACGAACTAACATTACCTTGTTCATAGCAACCATAGCTTTCGTTGCACCTTTCATGCCTGATGAAATCGAAGTGCTTGCATACAGAGCCTATACAAAGAGAAATGAAGAAAACATTGATTTAGTAACAACACCGGATTATTCTAACCGAACTATTAGTTTAGCTGATGTTGAATGAGAGGAAGTAAACCTGTGTATGAGTCGTTACACCCCTAATTTGAGCACGGCTTCCCTGTAAGTTGGTAATCTGTTGCCTCAATCGAACAAGCTGACGAGCTAATATCTTTGTGGCCGCCTGTGATAAATGTTGAATGAAAAATCAACAGTACAGAAACAAATTTAGAAGAGAAATTTAAACAAAATAGCCATAGCTAACCAATAAGCCGGTAAAGAGCCATCTACTAGCTACCAATGAGCTTTGAGCTAAAGTTTTCAGATGAAATTAGACGATATGAAAACTTGCCTCATTTCCAGTCTTAGCTGTTTTCTTGATTTCAGCAACAAGTCTCTTTTCCTGATTTTGATGTAATGTCAGTTAAAACAGTAAGAAAACTTACATGAACAAAGGTAACCCATAGTATATGTTATCTACCTCGAGCTGAAGAGATGAAATCTCGCGTTCGATACCTGCAATGCCATTCGATATAAACATTGGACTAAGAAAATGAAAAAAACCTTAGCTTTCTGATGCCATTGGACACAGAACAGAGAGGTTTAGAGAGAGCTTGTAAAATACGCAACACAGCCTCAAACAGCATCATGGATAGTTGAATCAGAACATATCATCTAGTTCGAACAAGCCAAAGCATAAGAAATTCTCATATACAAAGAGATTACAAATCATACATTCAGTTCTTTTACTAGCAGCAATGAAGTTATATATTTGATGGCAACATTCGGATTCATTTGGCAACAAAACTCAAATCTAGCTTAAAGAAACTGAAGTTAAAATTATTAGAAGAGATTGGAACATATATACTGTACATACCTCGTGTAGCCACAGCCATTTCTCTCTTACTAGTACGAAGAGCATCTGCGTAATTAGAAAACATCACAACTTTCTCAATACATATCACAAGCAGGAATTGCCAAAATCCACAAGTTTAATTGAAGAAACAACAACAAATCAAGCACTGGAACTAACTAAATCTGGGCAAACTTACTATTATTCCATTTTCCGACACAATTACACATCTAATTAAGGAATCATACATACCCTTTTTATGGAAACAAATAAAAGCCCAGACATACCCACACTGTAAGATTCAATTTTACAGACGAAGAACAATTTAAAGGTGCCATTTTTTTTTCCAGATTCAACAGAAGCCAACACAATTGCTTGCGATTTTAGCTGGAGATGAAAGTAGATGCAGACGAAAACCTAGGAAACAAAATCTCAGAGAGACAATGTGGTTAGTACCTTTGGGAGTAGTCTTCTTCTTGAAGATGTTCATGGCGATTAGTATCTTCAATCTTCTCAAATTGAGGTAATGTTGAACAAACAAAAAAGGAACCCTTTTTGGTCGTGTTTGTGAAAAAAACCCTAATCAGAGATAAAGTGATCTGAGGAGAGGCAGAAAGTTGTGTCCTTTTTTCG